AGTTTCCTCGTATTGATATTTCCACTCCATATGAAATTTCTAGAGACTTGTACGATAGTTCTAAATAAAGAAATATGCCATGAGTAGATAGAAATAGAATAATAAATTATACTATAAATTACAGACCCAACAAAAGTAACTCTACCTACTTAAAAGAGGGTGGAACCTTTACTAAACCGCCATCTTTGTAATAATTTTATCAACTAAGGCCTGTAAGTGAGTCCACTTGACTCTCCTTTTAAAAATAGGAACACCCAGTAATAAAAAGGCAGAGTGCCTCTTTTGAAACCAGTGAGATAAATGAAATGATTAGATTTATTGAGAGACATATCATATAACTTATATATTTTTTATTTTTTATTTTTAAAGTTCTACAAAAATTTCACAAGAGACATACCATTTTAAAATAGGCATATCATTATTGTAAGTGCAAAAATGTGAGAGAAAGCAAAACTGATTGAATTTGAAATATGAAGAATAATTATGTGAATAAGGTAAAATAAGGAAATCAAAGTCTAATTTTTATCATCAAAATCGTTTTCTCATTTGTGGCCGTAAATATTAATTGGGAATTTAATTTCAATATGTTCTATTGCAACTGTGTAGTTTTTAAATAGTATACATATATATATATATATATATATATATATATATATATATATATATATATATATATATATATATATATATATATATATATATATATATATATATATATATATATATATATATATATATATATATATATATATATATATATATATATATATATATATATATATATATATATATATATATATATATATTAAGAATCATTTGAATAAGAAAGACAAAAATATATATTTGTTATTGTTTTAGAGAATAATTTTAAATTATTTTAAGTTTATTTATTTTAAATAAAAATTATGGAATAGTAATAGTGATAATAATAAATGTTTGAGATTTAATTATTGTCTTTCTTACTTTTATATTTTCTTATTAATAAATATATTTTTTTAAATAATGAATATAAATCATTTGAGTTTTTTTTGAAGAAAATCAAATAATAAAAAAAATAAGGTTGAAGTTGAAATTACAAATTATTTTTTCTTAATCAATGAAATCAATATGATAATTTGTTTAACTATAATTTCAATTAAAAATTATATCTTTATTTTAATTTCAATATTTTATCATCTTTAAGATGAGATGAGAATGTCCAATTCTTATTCTATTTATTAATGAATTTTGTTACTAAAGCGGGATTTATATTATGAATGAATTTTAGTATTATTTTATAATTATATTTTTTTAATGTATTTTAATTATTGAATTAGGATTTTAAACGATTATATTTTAATTTGAGGTGAAAGTTATTTTAATTAGGCTTCCTTATTTTTGTTATAAAGATTGTTAGGAAAAACATTTTTTTTTTCATTTTCTTTGACAAACTAGATTACATTTTGTGCTTCGGTAAGAATGGAATGTGGTAGGACAACTGCTTCATCGTCACCTCTCTCGAATAATTCAGACTCGATGCTCTCTCTTATCATCCACATAATGTTTTAACAGTGCGACAATAAATCAATAGCATGGTCATCCATGACCTGCTCATTCTCTAGGATCTCCTCATAAACAGACATAGGTTGACGTCCATGGATGTCTTGTGTCATGTAAAGTGTGACACGTTATAGAACTAAGCCATGTCACCCTCAACATAACTCCATTGAGATGTGGCTTCATGACTCCAATACTCTATCGGTACCAGACAACTCTCAAAATTCGCTGGAATGTCATCCAAATGTTTGCAGATAATACAGATAAAAGCAGCTTCGAGGGGGGACCCTAGAATGATCTGCGCGTACCCAAACTACCGCATGCACCGATCATGCAGATACATGCACATGATATTAGTCCCACATGCCAACCATCTAGAGTATAAGGAAATATGGTCAAATGGAATTCTTTCCCGGTGAGTAGCGTATGGCATCCAGACGACGGGCCACGTTTAATCCCGTGAATACGGTGATAGTGGGCAAGGATCCATCCCCGAAAACGAATAAGAAAAAAATTTAGTAACAAGTGTGAAAAAAAGTTGTTTGTACTTAATAGTGAGATTTGGAAATTACTGTAAGTAGGGTGCATGAGCTTGTCATTTGCTTTGTCGTTCATTTACAACTTTTGCTTAGATTGGAGTACAGGTAAACCAAGCATGCATCCCCCCAATTTCACTCATGAATGGACTCCAACTCGATGAAATATTTGAGGTAAGCCACATCCACGTAGTTTACACTTTTGTCCACAAACATGGACGTGCCAACCAAAAATATGAAGAAGCACCTCAGGGCACACTCCCTGAGGTAGCCAACCTAAAGATCATCGGTGTCAGAGTGTTTGACTATCTCCAAGTTATTGTCATATAAATCTACCAACCAAGCAAACTTGGCATGTGCACTCGTGGTGTTTCTACACTGCTCAAAGGCTTCCACAGGGTCGGCTCCCAAATAAGTCACCATCATATCCACTGCCGCAACCGTGCTGATCTTAGAATAATCAAGCAATTTTCCTCTGATGGGAAGGTGTATGAAGCAAGCTACATCATCTAATGTGATAGTCATCTCAGGAATGAGGAGTGGAAAGATGATGTTTCGTTATGCCATCTCTCAAAAACAAATGCAACATGCATGTCATGGCTGATGGTGTTGTACCCGAAAGCACAAAGAACTACAAGCCTGGAGTTCTAGAGTGCATTTTAGAACCAATCATCTAGAGGCTGATAAAGATTGCAAATCTTTCTTACGTGGTTCACATATTTCAAACATTCACGTTCTTGTTGAAAATAAAATATGACAATCTCAATCGTGTTGAATTTGGTTACAAAATAAAAAATAGCACCATTAAAAAATATACCTCTCTGTCCTAGATATGCAGAGCCGCGTGATCTCCAAAGTGTATCAGTAAAGAAGTGTCTATGTGCCATCTTGGAAAAGGGACTGCAAGTGGGGTAACCTCAGCAACCGAGACTTGCGGTGCAACTGGGGCATCCTCATCATAATGCACACGATTTTGGGATCCCGACCCCCATGATAGTATACTCCTAAAGGTCGACACCTCCCTATTGTGAGAAAGATGGGGGACGACTCTAGTCGGCTCATGCTGACAAGCCCTCTCGCGATGAGCTGACGCGATTAAGGTGGGTCGCCCGAGTCTCAATCTTTCGTTATTTTCATCCATAACCCTTGAAAAAAACATAACAAACGAGATTAATATATGAGGAATAAAGCTTTTTTCTGCCGTAGCCCTTGGAAAGTTTCTACCATTGAAGTTTAACAGAGCTTTTTTTTTAGAGATGTGTCTCTGAAAACCTGAAACATAACACTTCAGAGATACATTTCCAAAAAAAAGCTTCGTTCAACTTCAATGGCAGAAACTTTTATGCAATTGCCCTAGCCATCCAAGTATCATCTAAATCATATAAACAAAGTCTACACATAATCTATTTCAAATGCTAATGATATATAATGCATTAAAACCTATTTGAGCTAATACATTAATAAAAAATTAAAATAAGTTAAATGAGAAACTTACTCAAAAATGTGTTGATGATTGTGTAAAGTGATCTAATGTTGAATGCAATAGTTAGAGGGAGTTGGAAATGACAATATACAAGTAAATGTTGCTTTAAAACTTGACCTGGAGTGAGAGCTAGAAATGGATAGAGTGAGATAGAGAAAAGTTTTGAGTTTTTGAAAAATAAAAAATAAAAAAGGAGAAGAGGGAGAGTCTGACGCGAGCTTTAAATATGCTCAACTAATTTAGATATGCATCTCCGAATCATTTTTTTAAATTAAAAAAAAATGAATTCGGAGATAAATCTATGAACACACTTTAAAATGACTTCAAAGATACATCTTTAAATTAGCATGCTGTTAAAATAGAAATTTTGAATATACTTCTTCAAAAATAGAGATCATTTTAAAAATTTCACACACTTGAGAGAATATCAAAAGTGCAATGAAAAACTGCCAGATCTTAAATATAATGTCCGGCCCTACAACAAGGTACCCAACTATTAGCCTTGCCATATACATTTTATTTTAAAAATATAATGTGTGGCCATAACAAAATTAAAAAAAAAAAACTTAAATACAAATTCTTAGATGTGATTTTTATTATTTATGAAAATATAATAAATATATTTAAATATCGTTTAGAAGTAAAAATAAGAGAAAATTATATATGCGTAAAAAAAATTATGTACTTTCCATATTTTTATTAAAAATAATAAAAATCACAATTAAGAAATCATATATAAATTTTCTTAAAAACGGCTTCACTTATTTTATTTTTTTAATAACTAAACAATGTACCTTGTTTTAATTTTAAAATCTATAATCAAAAACAAATTATAATTTTTTTTCAAAATATTTTTACCGGATCTTCTAGTTTTCTGGCTTTGGATCTTACAATTTTCTAATGTAGTAAAAAAATTACCGATCATAAATCCAGAATCCATAAAAAAAAGTGAAATTAAATCCCATAGATCGCGAAAAAGCTCAGCAACGTCTAGCCGTTGAAAATTTGAATATTAGTGTTAACTAAGGTCCCACATTCAATGACGATAATACCCTTCAAAGTTCAAATCTCAAAACCGCGATTACTATTTCATCAAACAGCATTTAATTCCACATCAAATCTCAACCGTTCATTTCAAATAACCTTTTTCGTCACTTCAAATTCAACTGCGATTTTCAATTCAAATAAAAAAAATCTGAAAGCACCAACCAAAACCCTCACACTGATAGTGTTCGTGTATCTGAACTTCGAACTTTTTATCCATGTTGAACTTTCCGTTCAATCTCAAACCATAACTACTCAAATTCTTCGATTCGGTGTTTTGTTCTTCAATTCCACCTTCAGGTAATTCAAATCCAAAAAATTTCAATTCGAAACTCACTATTTTTCTTACTTCATTTTTTTTTTTTTTTGCATTTTTGTGATTTTTTAGTTTGTATGATAGAATGCTGAGGGATTCAAAAATTCCACGGCGGAATCTGGGCAAACAAGGAGAAGTTGAAAATGTGGATCCGACGGATTCTTGGTCGTCCGGGACAAATTCGAGATGCACAGAAGCTTCCAGGCCTCCATTGAATACGATTCAAGATACTGATGTGAGTTGCGGAAGCAGCAAGTTTGACAAAACTCCATCTAAAACCAACAAGAGGAAAGTAGGACCTGAACTTCGTACTCCTGAAAAGAGCTTGCACTGGAAACACAGGTTCGCGTGGCCTCAAAGAATTGAAACAGTTTCGTCTATGATTGATGATAGAAGAGGATCTGGTATTGGAAATGGTACTCCTAAAGTAACTCGTAATGCGGGAAGAGCTTGTTCAGAAAGTAATTCGACTAATAGCACTCCTACTAAGAGTGTCACTAAGCCTCCTCCTAGCTCGGGTGTTCGAGGTAAAGCTGATGGAAGCTTCAGTGCTCGTTTGGGAAACTACGCTGCCTTGTACAGAGGGGTTTCGAGTACATCTTGTACGCCACCTACCGTTGTTAACACGGTTGAAGTACCTCACTTCGATCTCAAAGAGGATTCTTCATTTTGGATTAATCACAATGTACAGGTATGAGTAGGTATGAGTGAGTGAGTTCACTCTGATTGATAAAATACATTCATTTTGATTTGTTGAACTCTGATGTTGGATGTTCATTTTGTCATGAGTAGGTGATTATACGAGTCCGTCCTCTCAATAGCATGGAGAGGAGTATACACAACTATAACAGATGCCTAAAACAAGAAGGCTCTCAGTGCATTACTTGGATTGGGCAACCGGAAAACCGGTTCACATTTGATCACGTTGCATGTGAAACAGTAGACCAGGTATGGTAATTTTGAGAATGCAGTTTAGTGTACACTTTTTTTTGGAAGGTGTTGTTAATCTCCGTCTCCTTGTTTTGTAGGATATGGTTTTCAGAATGGCTGGTCTTCCAATGGTCGAGAACTGTCTTTCAGGATACAATAGCTGTATGTTTGCATACGGACAGGTATTATCTTGAAATCATCTTGAAATTATTTATGTACATCCAATTTAAATCGATATCAATTGTTACTGCTCATACAAAGTCTCCACTGATTTTGTTCATAGTTATGCAGAGTATGTATTGGATTAAAAACATTTTTTTTGTAATCAGAAATTCCCTTCTTAGCAGAGCCCGATTTTTGTAATTAAATATGACGGGCTACATTAACATTGTAGAAACTGTGCTCCTATACCACGAGCACATCAACACATGATGCATTACATTATGTGCTGATAGATGCACAATAATATTTCAGGCAACACAGTAAATACATAATAATTGTAATTCCGAAATTTCATATTTAGACTTTATCTCAATATTTCTTCAGAAAATTAGTTAGAAGCGAGTTTGGACTTTGGCATAAACATTCAACAAACATATTCACTGCCTGTTGCTGCATGTGAAAATATGGTACCAGGCTGAACTAGATTTCCAACAAACTTACATTTAGTGTACAGTATAACACACCTAGGCATTAAAACGAACTCGGGTAAAAAATGAAGCCTGTGGTTAAACATGGACTGAGGTAGAAAAGGGAGGATTTTGAGTTGAAACTTAAGTCATAACTTAAATTGTCCCAGCTGTTATGAATTATTCAACTTTCTTTTGAATGCCTAAATACCGTACTTTTAAATATCAGTGAAGTGTTTCAGAATATTGATATCAAATACTAGACGGTACAGATACTTGAAGGGAATACAAGTATTTGGGGCTCCATAGGTTTTATATAAAGCATACAGAGAATTTATCACGAAGTTGTACAATATATTAGTTCTATGCTATCTTTTGAGATATTGTATGCTCTGGTGCAGGGTAGCTAATTAGAAATGGAAGTGAGTGGCAGTGTTTTGATTATGATAGACAACTAAATTTTCATTCTTTATGTAAGTTGTAACATGATTAACGCATCGCTCAATTTTGTAGACAGGAAGTGGGAAAACATATACAATGCTTGGTGAAATTGAAGATTTAGATGTGAAGCCCAGTTCTCATCGTGGAATGACTCCTCGTATATTTGAGTTTTTGTTTGCCAGGATTCAAGCTGTAAATTCCTCACTTGTTGCTTCTTCATCTTTATATTTATATTGAGAAGTCAATTTTTTTTATCAGTGCAGAACATTAATTATATACCTGTTTTTATTTTTTACTATCTTCTCCCAATTAATTTCCAGGAAGAGGAAAGCAGAAGAGATGAGAACTTAAAATACAATTGCAAGTGTTCCTTCTTGGAGATTTACAATGAGCAAATTACAGATCTACTTGATCCCTCGTCTACCAACTTGCTTGTAAGTACAAATCTTCCCTCATCAGATTCTATCGATTTGTCAAAGCATGTTTAATTAATTCGCACTACTCGTCGTTCTTGATAGCTGCGGGAGGATGTCAAGAAGGGTGGTGTTTATGTTGAAAATCTTTCCGAGTTTGAAGCTCAAAGTGTGAGTGACATTATTAGGCTTCTAATTCAGGTACTTGTTTCTTGGACTATCTTCATTTTGAGGCATTCTCAAACATATTCTTCTGTCCGTGTTATTTATATACATGATGACATAGATTTGCATTCTCATGTACTCTCTTCCATTAAGCTGAGTTTTTGACTTGTAGGGTATGGCAAATAGAAAAGTTGCAGCTACAAACATGAATAGAGAAAGCAGTAGGTCCCACTGTGTTTTTACATGTGTAATCGAGAGTACTTGGGAAAAGGATTCTACTACTAATTACCGTTTTGCAAGGTTAAACCTGGTTGATCTAGCTGGTTCAGAAAGGTATGACATTATCCTCTAGATCGATTGAGCCAAATGTAGCTTGAGATATGCATGCACATTTACTTACCAAATTATTATCACTTATTTATGACAGACAGAAAACTTCCGGTGCTGAGGGTGAGCGTTTAAAGGAAGCGGCTAGCATCAATAAGTCATTATCTACCTTGGGGTATATTTTTTACCTTGATATATGTTTTGATTTTGTGTGTATGGATAATATTGTCTTATATCTGCTTTCTCATTATGCAATTGATGATTTTTGATCTTGCTTGCAGTCATGTCATTATGATACTAGTGGATGTTGCAAATGGGAAGCAGAGGCATATCCCTTACAGAGACTCCAGGCTAACGTTTCTTCTTCAGGTTGATTATTTACTGGCTTCCTTAGACATTTTGATTCTCGTGATGTTCATCACTATTTTTGGCATCAAATGCAGGATTCTCTTGGTGGAAACTCAAAAACAATGATTATTGCTAATGTCAGCCCTTCTATCTGGTTTGTTCGTTAATCTGGTCTACCTTTCTTTCATAGAAATTCTACAATTTCCCATACAAGTCTAATAGAGCTTTACTATTTTCACACTTTTGTAGCTGTGCTGCTGAAACACTGAATACCCTTAAATTTGCTCAAAGAGCAAAACTGATTCAAAATAATGTGAGTGTCATTCTAAGATCAGTCTGAATTGTTTCCAATCAATATATGGCCAACCAATATAAGTTTTGTATCATGTAGGCTGTGGTGAATGAAGATTCTAGTGGGGATGTAATTGCTTTAAAACACCAAATTCGGCTTTTGAAGGTAGTATAAGTTATTTTCTGTAGGCAGTGTAATATTTGTGTGTCATAGTGGACAATTAAACTTAGACGGGGAACTTTTGTGGCAGGAGGAGATTTCTACGCTCAAACGGTGCCAGAGTGTTTCCAGGTCATTGTCATTCAGAGATATAAAACAATCAGTAGAAGATTATTCTTTGGAAAATGAAACTGAAATGGCTGAACAACAAGATGCTGATATGCTTGATTATGAATCCAAGGGCACTAGAATGTCTCACAAACAGGTATATTGTAATTGCGAACCACCCGTCATAATTTCTATGGCTAAGGTTACATCTGGGTCTGACCCTCCTGGGATGCAACGATGGTGGAAATCTTGTGCCTTTTTAGCTTTTGACTAACATCTACTGCTAGTCTCCTGATGATGTGCTAAAATTTCATTGTTGTTACAATAATTTATTAATATTTTCAAAATTATTTGTGGCTCAGTTAGAATCACTGCAGACAACTCTTGATGGTGCTTTAAGAAGGGAGCAAATAGCAGAAACTTCTATTAGGCAACTAGAAGCAGAAGTTGAACTATTGAACTCTTTGGTATTTCCCCTATAAGATCTTTTCGTTCATGCAGTTTTATATTTCAACTGCCTCTTCACATTTTATCTCTAACCCATTGTGCTCAGGTTCGTCAAAGAGAGGAGGAAACTATGAGTTGCAAAATGATGCTTAGGTTTCGTGAAGATAAAATTCGTCGATTGGAATCTCAAGCTGTTGGTTCTATTACCGGAGATCAATTTTTGCATGAAGATAATAAAGCACTTTCTGATGAGATTCAGTTACTTCAAGGCAAAATTGATCAAAATCCTGAAGTTACACGATTTGCTAAGGAGAATATCAGGCTTCAAGAACAACTTAGAAGGTTATACATCTTCTTTTCCCAATACTATTGAGTGTTAAATGTTCTTTCTATTTAGACTTCCTTTCTATGACTACCACAGATATGAAGAGTTCTATGGAGAAGGCGAGAGAGAGATTTTATTAAGTGAAGTATCTTCTTTAAGGGAACAGGTATGCATGTTTCTGTTTTATCTAATAAAGAAATAGTTTCCTTTCTAGATTCCTTGTTTTGAAGCTTACAATATCGAAAATCTTTGTTATTGCAGTTGCTTCAGTTTCTTGGAGGAAAATCTGTTCAGGCTGATTTAAGTTATGACACTCAACCTCAGGTCAGTTTATAATCACCTGATGCAGTTCATAGTTTCCATCCTTAGAATATTCCATTCCCTTTTTTTAACAGTTTCAAATTACCATTGATGCAGAAAACTCAATGTTGCAGCAAACAAAATGACTCCATTGATCTAGAGGTTTGTTCCTCCCTGTATATCCAACTTTTTTCCTATTCAAAATATAGACGTATAACCTCTTCTGTTTATGGATGTAGCTAAGAAATGCTCTGGATAAGTTAGAGGAGTACAGACACAACTTAAACTATTGCTTAGAGGAGAATGCAAAACTCCATAGGTATGGTTTTGTTCTCCCTGTTGAAGCTCTCAATTTTGGGGGAAGAATGCTAAAAAAAATATTTTTTGAATGGAAAATATAAATATATGATATATAAGAATGTTAACTATTTTTATATTGCATATATATACAGGGAATTAGACTCTTTGCAGTCAATGTTCAACAACAAAACTGCCACAAAGGTACTCCTAATATTATGAAATAACTGCTCTTGGTTTTATTCCCTTTTGTACTGTAATATTCATACACATTTTGTTCTTTAATTTATTGGGAATTGCTGTTTGTTTACTCATTATTATGAACGGTAGTTCAATGTTTGTGAAATAATATATCTTGTTATCATTATTATTTTCAGGTTTCTATAAAAGAACCTTTGTCCAAAAGTCAGGCACTTCCACCTCAGATGGCGGTTAAGCATGAATCTCAATTGTTAAAAGAAACTGATGATATCTTGGATTTGCACCTGGAGTTAGATATAATAAAGATAATTCTGAAGGAAGAGAGGACTTCCCGTGAAATTCTGGAGGAGGGAGCAATGCGCTTAAATCATGAAATTCTAATGGAAAAAGACAAGCTTTTGCAGGCAAAAAAACAGTTGGAAGATACAGATAATGAGCTGAAAGTTGCTAAATCTGTAATCGAAGCTCTTGAATCACAACAAATTTTATCAATCAAAGAGATAGAAGACATGCAGAACAAGAACAACAATTATCAGGATCTTGTGAGGAAACAAGAGCGTGAAATCATTGCCTTGAAGAATCAACTTGCACCAAGTAAGGTTGATAATGAGTACCCCTTACAAGTAAGGTTCAGAAGAATGCATGATTCTCTTGAAAAAGCCAAGCAACTGAACATGTTTTACCAAAGTGATCGTGCACTCCAGATATCGAATGAGGAAGAGATGGACGAAGTCCGTCGACAGGCAGAGGCTGAAACTGCCGAGGTAATTGTTTGTATGCAGGAAGAACTTGCCCAGCTACAACATCAAGTAAATGATAGCCATCAGAAGGAAATAGAAATGAAGGAGAGTATATTGCATTTGGAAACTGAATTGAAGGACGTGAAAGAAAAATTGCTTACTACTGTTGATGATAACCAAAGTTTAAGTGAAGAGTTTTGGCAGAGAGATAATGCACTCAAATCACTTGTCGAAGAATGGGAATTGTTAACCTCTGAGATTGAAGAGATTCTTGGTGATGGATGTCAGGCACTAGATGATGCCTCCGATGAACTGGGGCATATAAGCAATTCACTTCCACAGAAAAGGATATGGATTTCTGAACAAGTTAGCATGATGGTTAGAAAAATCTCTGAAAAGGAATTGCTAATTGACGAGCTCGGAAGATGTTTGGAAGATGCATGCAATAAAAGAAGTGATATGGAGTGTATGCTGAAGTCCTTACGAAGTGCAACACTGGTGATTACTGAAGCCCACCAGAAGGAGTCAGCTGAACTAGAAAAAGAAATTCTCCTACTGACATCACAAGTGAGTGAAAGAACGACTACTCTGAAACAGATGGAGGAGCAGTTTATATTGGCCAGAGACCAAATCCGAAAAACATCAACTTGTGCAACAGCAGCTTTTGTAGTTGTGAATAGATTGTCAGATGTGAACGATGGTTATCTTGTTGATGTAAAGCACAAGGATAATCGGCTTAATGAACTAGCAGAAATTAATGACAGGAAGGATGCCGTTTTAATTGATCAATCCACTTCCCTTGAACAAGCAAAGAGGCAGATAGCTGAGTTGCAGGAAAAATGTGACAACTTATGGCAGAGGCTGTCTGAGGAGAAAGAACACTCTTTTGCCTTGGAACATAAACTTGAAGATATTGAAAAGAGTGTCATTTCAGAGGCTAGGGAGCAACTAGTAACATTACAAGACGGTGTCTTCTCAATCAGGTCATCCATGGCCTCTTTTTCAAATAATTCTAACTGTCTTGAGAATGGTGAATCAAGGGTAAGCTAGTGTTATATTTTGATATATTAATATGTCATAGCCACATTTATTATACTCATTGGCACGGTCTGTGAATGGTTTTTATTTAGTATTTTTCTATTTTAATTCATTCTGAAGTTTTGATATAGAAATATTTTGGATGTATGCACATCATGCTTTGATGATAAGTGTAATCTGATGTACTTTTTGATCAATTAATTTTCCTTATGTACTTTTCGATCAACTAATTTGATACTGTTATTTCATTAATTTTTCTAATGTACTTTTCGATCAATAATATTTTACACTTGGTTCATAGGGTTTAAGGTGAACCAAGTGTAATCCAATGATATTTTTCTAATTTTTCTAATGTTATTGTTGCAGACAAGTTCTGAAACACATCATCAAATAGCGGAGATGGCTGACTTATCCTTTAAATTGGCCAACAGTGGATATGACAAGAAAAACCGTAAAGCAAGAAATGTTTCCAAGGATGCATGTGAAAGAGATGTTACCATTACTCTGTTGAGAAAAGAAATTGAAAGTGCTCTTGAAAGCTTAAAAGAAGTGCATGCTGAGATAGCCAAATTACACGAGGAGAAAAAAGGGATGTCAATATGTGAAAAGCAAAGTCGGGATAGTATCAAGTGTCTAACAACTCAAATACTTGCTTTGCAAGCAGCTGTGGGACACTTTGAAGAGCAATCCGAAGTTAAGGTCGAAGTACTCAGTAAAAAACTCAGGAACTTGGAGAAAACTCTAAAAGAAGCAATGTCCTATTGGAATCAAACAAAAGAGGTAACCCTTTTGCTATTAAATTAATTCATGGAATTTCGATTTGAGCCTCACTCAACTCTACAAACTGTAAGGCCAGGGCCAGGGATGCCCTCCACTTCTGAACACTTTTTTAGGCAGTATCACATCCCTTTCTGCACTAATGTTTGTTTGAACAGTCTCTTCCTGTTTTTGTTCTCTTCCATTCTATAATAATGAAAATTTTCTGCGCATATTTGAATTGCTTTTCCTGTTGTCATGCATTTTTCTGCTTAATGCTGAATGAATTATGTTTGAATTCAGCGATTTATTTTTCTTTCAGTCGCTTGAACTAGAAGTTGGGGAGGCAAAGATCGTACAAGTTCAAAAAGCTGAAGAAACATACTGTATTCTTGCTAAATTTGAAGAAGCCCAAGACACAATGAAAGAAGCAGATATTATGATCAATGAATTAGTGATAGCTAATCAGTCAATGAAGATTGACATAGAAAAACTGAAAGAAAGAGAAGTCACATTGCTCAGTGAGAAGGATGTATTAATCAACAAGGTTGAGAGCTTACAGACCGTTGTCGATTTGAAGCATCGGGAGATAGAAGACCTTGTTGAATCGAATCTTATAGAAACAAGGGACTTAGTGTTGGAGGTGGATGATGTGATTACAGAGGTCCAGTTGGCGATGAAGGAAATTTTTACCTCTTTAGCTTGTGATATAGAATGCTTAAAGTCTCAATTTATATGTTCCACTAAGTCGATACAACCATGGCTTGAGAAGATCTGGTCTGAGATAGTTAATAAAGATTGTGCGATGTCTGTACTACATCTCTGTCACATGAGTGTTCTTCTGGAAACAGTAACGGGAATGCATGCAGCAAATGGCTTGCTTTCGCATGGCTTGTGTGAATCAAACTCTGTCATAAGTGATCTGAAGGAGCATAATTGTAGAACAAGGGAAGAACTAGAAATGTGCAGAACCTTGAAAGGGAAACTGCTTGCTGATATCCAGAGTAGTTTTGATCGCATCAGTAGGAAAGAAGTGGAAGCTGGAGAGATCACCATCAAGCTAAACACTTTTGCTAAAAAATTATCAGATCTACAGCTTCAGGAGGAGATGATGCTGCAAAGGTCTAATGAAATGGGATCCCAACTTGCTATGTTAATGAGGGAATTGGATCTGAGTAATACCGATCTTGTGGTATCCCTTTTAGATCAAGAGAAACTACTGAAACAGAAAGTAGAAGCCACTGAGTCTCAAGCTGAATTTCTTATGGCAGATTGGTACGCAAAAGACTTTGAGTTACTCATCCGTTCTTCTGAATTCAGTAACATGGCCTGTAATGTATCTGAAATGGAGGAGCATTTTGTCAAGTACTCTACATTAATTGAACAATTGAAGACAGAAACAATATTTTTCCGGGTAGAAACTGAGTTAGCAGAACAAATTTTGATGGATAAGGAAGTTGAAGTTTCCCTTCTAAAACGAGAAGTTCAGCAGGAAAAAAAAGAAAAGGAAAACTTATTGATGGAATTGAAGCAGAACATCTTAAGGATTACAGAGATGGGCGAAGTAAACAAGGCACTTGAACAAAAGATTGACCTTCTAAAGGATACTGAGTCGCAAGCTGAGTTTTTAATGGCAGATTGGTACGCAAAAGACTTTGAGTTACTCATCCATTCTTCTGAGTTCAGTAACATGGCCTGTAATATATCTGATATGGAGGAGCATTTTGTTAAGTACTCTACATTAAATGAACAATTGAAGACAGAAACAATATTTTTCCGGGTAGAAACTGAGTTAGCAGAACAAATTTTGATGGATAAGGAAGTTGAAGTTTCCCTTCTACAACGAGAAGTTCAGCAGGAAAAAAAAGAAAAGGAAAACTTATTGATGGAATTGAAGCAGAACATCTTAAGGATTACAGAGATGGGCGAAGTAAACAAGGCACTTGAACAAAAGATTGACCTTCTAAAGGATACTGAGTCGCAAGCTGAGTTTTTAATGGCAGATTGGTACACAAAAGACTTTGAGTTACTCATCCATTCTTCTGAATTCAGTAACATGGCCTGTAATATATCTGATATGGAGGAGCATTTTGTTAAGTACTCTACATTAAATGAACAATTGAAGACAGAAGCGATATTTTTCCAGGTAAAAACTGAGTTAGCAGAACAAATTTTGATGGATAAGGAAGTTGAAATTTCCCTTCTAAAACGAGAAGTTCAGCAGGAAAAAATAGAAATGGAAAACATATCGATGGAATTAAAACAGAACATCTTAAGGATCACAGAGATGGGTGAAGTAAACAAGGCACTTGAACAAAATATTGACCTTCTAAAGGATACCGAGTCTCAAGCTGAGTTTTTAATGGAAGATTGGTATGCCAAAGACTTTGAGTTACTTGTCCGTGCTTCTGAATTCAGAATCATGACATGTAATATATCTGATATGGAGGATCATTTTGTCAAGTACTCTACATTAATTGAACAGTTGAAAAAAGAAACAATATTTTTCCAGGTAGAAACTGAGTTAGCAGAACAGATTTTGATGGATAAGGAAATTGAAGTTTCCCTACTAAAGCGAGAAGTTCAGCAGGAAAAAGAAGAAAAGAAGAACTTATTGATGGAACTGAAGCAGAACATCTTAAGGATTACAAAGATAAGTGAAGTAAACAAGGAACTTGAACAAAATATTGAGCTTCTAAAGGATGTTAGTTGCTCTAATATTGCATTGAAGGGTGAACTTGTTGAAGTTAAGGAGTCAGAGAAAAGACTTTTGGATGAGATTCGAGATCTTGAGGTTGATTATGATAGAGTAATTGGAGATGCCCTAGCAAAGAATGTGGCTTCTGAATTTGCTTTCCATCATATTTTGTTTCTGGAAGATCAATTCAGAGAGTTACAAAGCATAAACGTCATATTGGAAAGTTCATGTTGCAAACTTAAGAATGAGCTGCACCTAAGGGATTCAGAGATAGATAGAATACAAAGTTTGTTGCAACTTGAGTTATCTAGAAAGGAAGATGTAATTAAAGGGCTGCTGTACGATCTGAGCTTACTGCAGGAATCGGCATCTACCAGTAAAGACCAAAAGGATGAAATGGAGGAAATGATGGCCATAATGGAAGAATTTGAATCGGAGCTTACAATTAAATCTGACGAGCTTGCTTCTGTAGTTGCAAACTGTCGGCTTTTTGAAACTCAGTTAATGGATAAATCGAACAGAGTTATCGCTCTTGAGTTGGACCTCTCAAAAGAGTGTGAGGTGGTAAAGCAGCAAGTTAGTGAAATTGATGAACTTCGAACTCATATTGAAGATGCCTTGGTGGCAAGAAAACTGGTTGAGGAGGAGCTAAAAGAGAGAAAGAAGATAACAGAGAGTTTAGAGAATGAAATCTTGGAAATGAGCAATGTTCTTGGGCAAATGAATGATTCAATTAAAAATCTAAGTGTTGATAGGGATGCCCTAACTATTCAAAGGGATCAACTTGAGGGTCAAGTGATTTTACTCAAAGAAGGGCTTGAAAATGCTGCAGCACAAGCTGAAGCTAACGAAGCGATTGCACAAGATGCTCAAAAGGTAAAACTTTTAATCGACTAAACACGCAACAACATGTTTTCCATTAATGTCAATATTAAGAAACAGTTGATGACTGAACATAAAGAACTCGGTATCATGTCCTAAGAAGACACGGAAAATTTGCTCAAAAGTGTGTAATATTTGTGACTGAATTTCTTTAAACAATTTCAGATGGCTGAAGCAAGAAAAGTTTATGCTGAAGACAAGGAAGCAGAGATTGAACTTCTTGAGAGATCTGTTGAAGAGCTGGAAAGTACCATAAATGTACTAGAAGAAAATGTAAGTAACTTTTGGTAATTTATAATAGAAAGCTTGTTTACCTGCATTGAAATATAACGCTTCAATTATGTTGGTCAGGTTGACTTCATTAAAGGAGAAGCTGAACGGCAACGGCTGCAAAGAGAAGAACTAGAAACGGAGCTATGTGCATTAAAAGAGCAGATGCAAAATCTACGAAATGCTAATGATGATACAAAAAGGTTTAGGCCGACTACTCTATATAATAGGCATGCTAAACTGCTGGGCTGGTCTTTAATATCTATTTATTTCCTGTAGATTTCTGGATGGAAAAGAGAAAAGCCTTGAAGAAGCCCAAAATCACATACAGGTTCTGAAGAGTGATATTGCAGGAAAAGATGCAGAGGTAGGATTTTTTGGATAATGCTAGTTAACATATTTTTTGATTTGAAGTTTCTTCTAACATTATTTCGTTTCTGTGTTGGTTTCTGATAGGTTGCACAAATGAAAGCTCATATATCAGAGCTTAATTTGCATGCTGAAGCACAAGCAATGGAGTACAAGCAGAAAGTAATTTTCGTTATTACATCAAATAAAATGTCTTGGTTGTCATATTGGATAAATATAGTTTAAAGCTTAGCAGTACCATTGGTAATTTTATATACATTTTTATAATGTGAAATGTATCATTATTAAATCAGTTCAAAGCATTGGAAGCGATGGTCGAGCAAGTCAAACCTGAGGGCATTTCCACGCAGTCCACCAATGCTCTGTCAAACAAGTCTGAGAAGAATGCGACCAAGTCTCGAGGTTCTGGTTCTCCTTTCAAATGTATTGGCTTGGGATTGGCACAACAAGTAAAAAATGAAAAGGTTGAAGAGCTGTCTGCTGCAAAACTGCACATTGAGGAACTAGAATCTCAGGCAGCATGTCGACAGAAAGAGGTTGGGTTTTCTCCTCAACTGAATGTTCTACGATCATTGGATTTTGCTTATTAGCTTTAATTCGTTTCTTCCTTTTACTTGTCCAGATATTTTCACTGAATGCTAGATTAGCAACTGCGGAGAGCATGACCCATGATGTAATACGCGACTTACTTGGAGTGAAGTTGGATATGACCTCTTATGTGGTAAAGTCTTCTACTTCGAATGATTTTTCTTGGATTTCCTTTCTGTTATGTATCATGTTTGTGATAAATATAGGAAAATAAAATCGTTATTATGTAACCACTATTTTTAACGGAAGTTATCTACTTGTAATTTATAGTCATGGGAATACAATACAAATACTATCTCCTTGAACTATAGGAGGTGATAAAAATGAGAAAACGTTTTTAATAAAAGAACAGTTACAGTTCTACTTTCCAATTATGCTCATCTAATCTTGTTAATGTAGTCACTGCTGGATAATCATCAAGTTCAGAAGATTGCAGAGAAAGCTCAATTTCTAACTCTAGAACCTAAAGAGAAGGTAGTCCAACTATTCTACTAGATTTCAATATTATCATGTTAAAACTTAAAACTCAGTTAAGGTGAATTGCTTGCGCTTTCAGGAACAAGAGGTTACTAAACTAAGGAGGCAGCTTAATGAGTTTATTGAAGAGCGGAAAGGGTAATTATATTTCGGTTTTTTTTGTTAATGAGAACAGAATCTCAAATGTTAACTACTTTTAGATTTTGTTCTTACACGTTTGATTCTCAATCCTACTTATCAGATGGTTAGAAGATATCAATAGAAAACAAGCCGAGTTAGTAGCTGCACAGAATGCATTAGAAAACCTTCGGCAGCGAGACCAGTCACTAAAAGATGAAAACGAATTGTTGAGGGTAAAAATTAAAGCCACTTTTCTCTAGGTTTTTTATGGATGCATTCATTCGATTTTATATCTAATGGGCTAATGTTGCTGAACTTGTTTTGAGTAGATGGAAAATGCAAGTAAGATGAGTAAGGTAATGGAACTGGAGGAAGAAATCAAGAAGCTGTCAGGTCAGCAAAATCTTCAGCAGCGTATTCATCATCATGCTAAAATTAAGGTAACATCATCTTGCGCTTCCTCCATTATTTAGGCGCTAAGACAAATTAATCAAAAATATAGAAGGGTGAAAAGTTCATTTAAAGCCAAAAAAAATTATAATTTGGCATGTATCTTTATTTTAATAATTATATATCTTTGAATTCGATCCTGACATTGGTGGTGTAATAATGCTACAGGAGGAAAACAACACATTAAAGATACAGAATGAACAACTCAGCGCAAAGTTACGCAGGTCAAATCACTTCATGTCACGTGTCCAAGAAGACATTGCTCGCCTTCGTGCTTCCACAGGGTCGAAACACTATATTGATTTTGATCAAGAGCAACGTCTGAGGAAAATGGTGAAGGTCAGTTTTCTAACTTAGAGTATGTTGTACTCCATATTGTTAAAAAAAATGGATGTTTAATATCGAGTAAATAATACCGCAGGAGACCGAGGAAGAGAAAATACAATTAGCACAGCAATTACTGAGATTGTCTACTAATGTTCTAAAGGTAAGTGACAATGATTAGTGGTTCACAGTGCAATAAACAAAGAAAGCAAAACCGCTTAGCTTGACAAGATACTAATTAAAGCGAATTTCTACTAATGTGACAATGATCATGCTTCTACATTCAGGCTGCTGGAATAGCAAAACCAGTGTCAGATGTGAATCCTACTATTGCTGAGAAGGCCCTAGAGGAGCTCAAGAATAGGATAACTTCCCTGGAAATGGAACACGAAGATTTGAAGTTTAAGGTATGTATGTAATATATGTGTATGCGAAGCTATCAATGTCAAATTTTAAATAGAAAATGATGAAAGTGATTCTTGCTGTTTTAACACAGAATAAAATTATGATAGAAAAAATTAGACTATCTGAACTCATGCCACAAGCTTCTCCTTTGAGCTCAAGATCTGAAGAGAACAAGAAGACTCCACCAAAGGCAAACAAAGCTCCATTTCTTTCCAGTTTTGATCGATACTGAAGTGTTAGTTAACACGATATTCTTTGATTAACAGGTAAAAAACTAACATGTACATGTACTATGTACAGTTTAATTAATGAGAAATTGATATTGTCAATATATAGAAGAGATCTGTGGTACTCGGGGAATGTTAAGTAAAGTCAATGTGTTGAGAAAAAAAACTTATTTAATATATTATTATAAAATAAAATTAAAATATGTTATTTTATATAATGTTAAGTTAAATAAAACTTCGTTATTTTAAATATTTGTAAAATTAAGTTGAATAAGTTCATGAAACATAAATTGATATTATTTTAATTCTGTAAAATCAATAGTTTCATATACTAATGATAATAATAACACTATGGTTTAATTATTATACTTTTGGTTCTCTATTTTAGATGATGCACATGATTAGTATTTGAACATGTTTGCTCCTTTTGCACTTAAAATTAATTGCATTCATTTTTAAATTACTTAAAAATTAATTAAATTTATAAATAATAATAATAAATTTCATTTTTATATGGCAAATGTTATTCAAATTCAATTTTGAAGAAAAAATAAAATACTAAAGAAAATAACTCCATCGTCCTAAAATAAATGTTGCATTTTAGTAAATTATTTATTCTAAAATAAGTGTCACTTTTACTTTTCAATCTAATTTTCATTTTCTTCTTTCTATTGTACCCTTCAATTAATGTTGCATATATTACTCTCAATTTACTATTATTTCATTTAACATTTATGATTATTAGAATGCACCAATAATTAATCAAAATAATATGGTAAAATTGATATTCTCTCTTTAATTTATTACAATTTCTTAATATGTGTGAAATACTCCATACTTAATTTGAGACGGAGGGAGTATTGAGGTTGAAAAATATTTTAAAGTGTAGCTTATTGACATTAATGTATATATTTTAATGTGTTATGATTTTTTTAATGAATATATTAAATATTAGAATTAAAGAGTAGTGTAATAAAATAGTTTTTCATTGTTGTCCAATAGAAAATAAGCATTCGACCATGTCATAAATCTTTTAAAAGTAAAAGAGTGACTTAATTGGATATTTGAATGAGTTTTGGTCAATATTTTAAAACTTAGATCGATTATCAATTCGGTCAAATTATTAACTTATTAGGTTATTGATATGAGGAATGGACCATTGTTCAACTACATGATTTCGAATAATATGAAAATTTAATTTTACTTTTATTTGAACACGATTTTTTTTTTCAAAATTCTTGTTAAATTATACTCTTATTAAGTTTTTAATTAATTTTCTAATTTTTAAGTTTATTATATTATTTTATTATATTATTAATAATAAATAAGTTTAATAAAAATTATATTAGAGAGAATTGTTGTAATTATATAATATATAATAACTCTCGTTTTTTTTACTAAATTAAATATTAAAAAGATTTATGTGTAATTTTATTTTAGAAAGTTATATCTCTGATTTTTAAAATTTGACAAAATTTTATTTTAATAATTTTAATTTGTTTAGTTATTATAAGTAGTTAAAATAATTATTAATATTAATAAAATCATATTTTAAAATAGGGACACCAAAATTTAAGGGAAAAAAAATCAAAATTATAATTAAATTAAAAAATAAATATAAAAAGATCAATTTGTTAGTTTAAGAAATTCACCAATTTTTTAATCTGATCAATATATCAATCAAATTACATCAATTTTCACTGAGTCAATTACAACTATAATTCAATAATTTTACTGAACCGTTCTATCATTTAATTCATGATCTAACCGAGAACGGTCTAGTTTTAAAACACTAGTTTTAAATTTTTTGGCTCTAATTTCTCTTGGCATTATAATTTGTAATATAATATTTTTATTGTTTTCCGTGTCTAATATCGTCCTTTGTGCGTATTCTCTACTAAAAGAGAGAAAAAGACAATAATCGACTAATGAGGGAAGAGACTAACAAAATTATATATATTAAAGTAAATTAATATTAATCCTTTGATCAAAGCTAAATTAATAGTTTACATTTAGTATCAAAATTAATTTAATATTTTATTATCTATTGATCCCGATATACATAGATATAGAGACGTAGTATTTGTTTTGATATGGTTTTTTATTGTAAGATTCAAGTTCAAGAACTCTTCAATTTATTTAGGATTTTTTTCATCTTCTCTTACCCCTTGAGAAATTTTTAAAACGTCTCTTATATTTATAGATATATCTCCGAACACACAAATTATTTATTTTATCTAAAAGTTTATTCGAAGATATATTTGCGAAGAGTTTTAAAATATATTTGCATATACATCTCCAAATTACTTTTTTTTTTTAATTTAAAAAATTCATTTGGAGATGCATCTTCGAACTAGATAAACATAGTTAAACGCGCACCTGACTCTCCCTCTTTTTCTTCTTCATTTTCAGTTCAGAAAATTTTACCCTATTTGAGCTTGGAAGCACAATAATTCAACTCAACTTTTGAAGCAACTTCAGATCCTCCGCTTGTATCTTGCCATTCCCAACTCCCTCTAACTATTACACTCAACACTTTGCACCATGATCAACATATTTTTGAGTAAGTTTCTCATTTAGCTTATTTTGATTTTGGATTAATGTATTAGGTCAAATAGGTTACTTTTAATGCATTAGATAGTATTAGCATTTGAAATAGATTATGTGTAGGACCTGTCTCTATTATTTGGGAGATTTGGATGGTTAGGGCAAGGGAAGAGATATTTCTACCATTAGGAGATGTATCTCCGAAATGTGTTCTTTCTATTTTTTGGAGATACATCTCCAAACTCATTTCTTCCTGCTGCACTAATATCTTTTGTTATGTTTTTTTCAAGAAAAATGGCTGAAAAAAACAACAAGAGACTGGGCCGTGAAACCCTGACCGTGTTTACTCGTCGCAAGAGAGCTCTTCAACATGAGCAGGCAAGAGTCGTCTCGATGTATCACGATAGGGAATCATCAACCTCTAGGAGCCTAATATCACAAGGGTTGTCATCCCAGTGCACACCATGAGGAAGAGGCCCCTGCTGCACATGAGGCCCCACTTGAAGACTCTTATTCAGAAGGTCTCTCTGACACGTCATTAGTGAAATACTTTGGAGATCATGTGACTTCTCATATCTGGAACGGAGAGGTATATTTCTTAACGATGCTTATTTTTATATTTTAACCAAATTCAATTCGACTGAGATTGTTATATTTTATTTTAAATAGGAACGCAAGTGTTTGAAATTAATGAACCATTCCAGAAAGATTCACAGGCTTGATCAGCCTCAGAAATAGTGGTTTCTTAGTGTACTCCAAGACTCCGGTCTTGCAGATCTTTGTTCTTCCAGGTACAACATCATCAACCATGGTATGCAAGAAAAATTTGCTAAGAGATGGCATAGCGAAATGCCATCTTTCCAACTCCCAATTAGCGAGATGACAGTTACATTAGATGATGTCTTGCCTCATACACCATCCCATCATAGGAAGGCTACTTGATCATTCTAAGATCACCAGGGCTGAGGCAATGGAGATGATGGTAGTTTATTTGAGAGCTGACCCTGAGGAAGCCATGGAGCAGTGTAGCAACACCAGGGGTGCATATGTCAAGTTTTCTTGGTTAGAGACGTTGTATAACAATAACTTGGAGTTGGCCATCTACAACAATGATCTACAGGTTGGCTACCACGAGGAGTGTGCATTAAGGTGTTACTTCCTATTTTTGGTTGACACGTCCATGTTTGTGGATGTAAGTGCAACCTACATGGATGTGGCATACCTCAAGTATTTCATCGATTTGACGATCATTCACGAGTGGAACTAGGGGATCACATGCTTGGTATACTTGTACTCCAAATTGAGTGAAGGTTCTCGTTGGAAGACAAAGCAAATGATAGACTGATGCACCCTGCTTACGGTAATTTCCAAATTCCACTATTAATTTAAGAACATTTTTTTACACTTGTTACTATTGTTTTTTTTCTTATTCATTTTCAGGGATGGATCCTTGTCCACTATCACCATATACACGGGTTTAGGTATGATCCATCGTATACTGAGGATTATCCACATGCTTTCCTGTATCTCCCACACAGAGAGAATGATGTTATGGTGTTATTCTGTATGTATATTGACCGGACACAGATGATTATGTCGTCTGGATGCCATACATAACTCACTGAGAAAGAATTCCATTCGACCATATTTCATTATACTCTAGATGACTGGCATGTGAGACTAATATCATGTGCAGGTATCTGACAGAGCGGTGCATGCGGCAGTTTGGGTACATACAGATCATTTCGAGGTCCCCATTCCAGGATTCTCTTGAGAGCATTGTCTGCAGACAACTTGATGACATTTTGACAGATTTTGAGAGTCGTCTAGTACCAGAGGAGTATCAGAGTCAGAAAGCCACCTTTGAGCGGTCTTATATGGATGATTACATGACTTAGTTCTATTTTGTGTCACACCCTTACAAGACATCATACGCCCTTGGACGTCCACCTAGGCATGCTCAAGAGGAGATCCTAAAGAATGAGCAGGTCAGGGATGATCATGCTATTGATGTGTTGTCAATATGTCAGAATATCATATAGATGACAATATAGAGCATCGAGTCTAGGTTGTTTGATAGAGGTGACGATGAAGCGGTTTTACTAGCACATTCCATTCTTACTGAGGCATGAATTGCTTTGGGTTACCGTAGGTAAAGGAGGTGCTTGAGTGTTAGGATTAGGCATACTCAATAGATTATTCATTTGATTTTATTTTGTATATTTTTTATTCTTTGAGAACTATTTTTGTACTATGATTGTCTTTTTGATTAATTAACACATTACTTTGTTCTCTGATATTCGTGTTTATTAATCTTTGAAACAAATAATAACAATGTTAATCGAATTAAAATTACTTTGAATTGAAGAAACTACAATCTCAATAAACTGTTTCTTCACAAGAAACATGCAGACAAGACTTTGGAAATATATCTTCGAATTTATTCCACAAATAATTT